TCTCCAAATAGTTGGGCTGGGTCATATGTGACCAGGGGGTATCAAAGGCGCCCTTCAAAGGTGTCAGGACATGCGAGTCATACATCCGCGCCCTGGGATTGAGTTGTGCTAGTGGTTAGGGGGCAGAAGGAAGTGTTACAGGTCATACACATCCTCTCTGACCATTGACCACACCTGTTCAAGGCGTCCAGCGGTGGGTCGTGAATATTTCGGCTGGGGCATTAGCAATCACTTGAGGTCAATAGGTCATCAGTGACCAGAGTGTGTCAAACGCACCCTAGCCACGTGCTTTCCACACCCATTAGAGGTGTCAGGCTGCGAACTCCACATAATTGGGATAGGTCATAAGTGACCATGGGGTGTCAAACACACCGTGGGGAGGTGCGTGCCACACCCATTAGAGGTGTCATGCGGTGATCTCTAAAAATAATTCAGCTAGGTCATAAGTGACCACAGCGTGTCAAGCGCACCCTAGCGGGGCGCTTTCCACACCCGTTAGAGGTGTCAGGCCGTGATCTCCACATAGTGGGGATGGGTCATAAGTGACCATGGGGTGTCAAACACACCATAATGAGGGGTGTGCCACACCCGTTAGAGGTGTCAGGCTGTGATCTCCAAATAATTGGGCTAGGTCATAAGTAACCACAGGGTGTCAAACACGCCTTTCCGAGGCGCTTTCCACACCCATTACAGATGTCATGCCGTGATCTCCGCATAATAGAGCTAGGTCATAAGTGACAACAGGGTGTCATGCTGTGATCTCCAAATAATTGGGCTTGGCCATAAGTGACTATAGGGTGTCAAACACACCCTAGCGAGGCGCTTTCCACACCCATTACAGATGTCGTGCTGTGATCTCCGAATAATAGAGCTAGGTCATAAGCGACAACAGGGTGTCAAGCAGACCCAAAAGAGGTGTTTTCCACACCCGTCAGAGGTGTCATGCCAGGATCTCCAAATAATAGGGATAGGCCATATGTCATCATGGGGTATCAAACATGCCCGTGGGAGGTAGTTGCCACACCCATTAGAGGTGTCATGCTGTGATCTCTAAATAATTGAGCTAGGTCATAAGTGACCAGGGGTGTTAAACACGCCCCGCGGAGGTGTCTGCTGTGCCCATTACAGGTGTCAGGCTGTAATCTCCGAATAGCTGGGCTGTCATAAGTGACTATGGTGTCAAACACACCCTAGCGAGGCGCTTTCCACACCCATTACAGATGTCGTGCTGTGATCTCTGAATAATGGAGCTAGGCCATAAGTGACAGCAGGGTGTCAAGCACACCCAAGAGAGGTGTTTTCCACACCCGTCAGAGGTGTCAGGTTGTGATCTCCAAATAATAGGGATAGGTCATATGTGACCATGGGGTATCAAACATACCCGCGGGAGGTATTTGCCACACCCATTAGAGGTGTCAGGCTGTGATCTGCAAATCTGTTAGGTCATCAGTGACCAGGGGGCGTCAAACACACCCTGTAAAGGTGTCAGGCCACATAGGCCATATATTACCTCCTTGCACCCCTCCTTAGGCAGCCAACTCCCAGTGTGGGTCATATACACCCCCTCAACCCTTCGCTACACCTGTCAGGTGTTAACTGATCCCAGGGTGTTGAACATACCCAAGAAGGGTGTCAGGCCATGCAGGTCATATATCAGCACCCTGTACTTGAGTACTACTGGGGGTTAGGGGGTCAACCTCCAATATAGGTCATATACACGCGCTCCACAAGTTTGCTACACCCGTGACAGGAATCGGGCCATGGTCTCTTAATACTTGGACTGGGTCAAAATCGAATTCGGGGTGTCCCATGGACACACCAAAGCCGTGCCGCTGTGCAGGTCATACATCGGCTCCCTGTATAAGTAATGACAGGTATCAAGCTGTCGCGAGCGGATAGACAGGTCGGCCACATTCAGCTGGTGTCACACACACCACTTAAAGGTGCCGGATAATACAATACATGCACCAGCAACCAGCAGTATTGGTGGCCGAGCTGCTGACCACCACTATGGGCCATATACGCCTCCAGCAGGCTGCTGCCGCCCGTGAAAGGTGTCAGCCGTGGTTGCTGTAATATTGAGGTGGGCCAAATGTCAGTGCGGGTGGCCAGCATAAGGTCTTTGCACACACCAAAGTGGCTTACCAGCAAAGAATCTGTGAAAGCTTGTGGGTCACAATGTAGCGTGTGCGATACCTATATGCTCGCCCCTTGTGCCAGGTGCCAGACAGACCGCAAAAGGTGCCAGGCGATACAGTGCATGTAGCAGTACCCAGCATCACCCTCTGTTACATATTTACCTCCTGCTAGTGTCAGTCACACCTGTTTCTAGCGTCAGTCACGCCCGGTTCAAGCGGCAGTCACGCCAGTTTCAACCGTCAGTCACACCCGCTTGAAGTGTCAAGCCATGGACAAGTAGTTGTGGTGGGCAACAAGCAATCACCGGGTGCCGAACACACCAACCAAAGGCGCCAGCCCATGCAGGTCATGCCTCGGCCCCTAGCAGGACCAGTGCCTGCGGGACCACCGACCTCCACTATGGGCCATACCTGTGGAGTCAACCTCCGCTATGGGTCATACACCCTTCCGAGGTGTCTGTCACTCCCGTGATATGTGTGAGGCTGTGGTAATTGTATGGTTGGGTGGGCCGTAAGCGATGACTGGGTGTCGGACGAGCACCCGTAGGCAAAGGCAAAAGGCCATGCTGCGTGTGCCAGCACCTACCTGCACCAGTGCATGGGGAGCTGACCCCCATTACGGGTCATATACCTCCCACAGGCGTCCGTCACACTCCTGACTGGTGTCACGCCGTGGTCGCCACAGGAGCTGAGCTCCACTATGACTCACCTAACGTACACCCTCATCACACCCATGACAGGTATCAGGTTGTGCTCGCCATCTACTCGTAGTTGCTGTGGGCAATAAGCAATCACCTTGTCTCGAATGCGCCAGGAAAAGGTGCGGGCCAATACATGGCCTACCCCAGCACCCAGTAGCACTAGTGACTACGGTAGTGAACCGACCTCCACATGTTCCATGTACCTCCTCCACCCCCGCGACAGGTGTAACCCATGCATGCCATGCCCATGCCCTCAGCAACACTAGCCCATGTGCAGCCGACCTCCACTGTGGGTCATATATAGCTCTTCCAAGTGTCTGCCACGCCTGTAATCGGTGTCGGACCGTGTTATCCCTTAAACCGTTTTCAAACACTGGGGCTAAGGCAGTACTAGCAGAGAAGCAGGGGCAGCAACCGAGGATGTAGCTGTAAAGAGCATTAGTATTTCGTGGGGTGCGGGGGCATAGGCGGGATTAGATTTACACAGACCCTCCTGCTTCTGTCATGGCCATGCTGATTTTTACGAACTTCGCTACATTCTGAGCACTACTCCACTTGGGATCCGCAGAGTGTTTCCTATCACAATTACTCAAATAGACTAGTGTTCAAGACTTTAAACAGAGCCGGATTTCTCAGCACTTTAAGGATAGATCCAGCTTTCCTTATTCTGCCCTAGCTATTGTCGATCGCAGTGTTAGTGCCGCGCTAAAGGTGAGTGAAATTCGGGACAGACGAAGGGATGACGCGCTTAGGTAGATGAGGATCTGCCATCCCCCCTGCCCTGTGCTCCAATCTGTGTTCCGGAGCCCCATACTAAGGATGTGGTCACCCTCCATATTTATATGGCCGGTCACATACCCTGCTCCGGGGCTAGCGAATTCCACAATACCCATTCTAGGTGGCCCAGTACAAACTATTCGACGGCGATAAATCGGCGGAGACTTCGCGAAATCAAACCAGTAGCGACCGAACGGCGAACGAGCAGGAATACATGGCAATGAGGCAAACGGGTCGCACAGCCAGGAGCAGGGAAAGTACAGACCCTGGCAACCGCTAAAGTGTCACGCAACTAAGATCAGCTAACGGGAAAGACAGGAGCATATATTAACGACAGCAAAATTACAAAGTCCCAACCCCCCCCCTCCAGGAATGTCCCCCTCGCATCAACTCACCAGAGGACAGACAAACCTCATCGCTCCCTCCGAATAAGCCCCTTTCCTCCTTAAGTGGAAGACCAACGAGGGAAAAGCCAAACCTCAGCTACCGGACCTCCAAACATAGCTTCCCGTTTCCTTCCATCATGCCTTCCATCTGTCGGATGCACTTCTCGTAGGCCCCCGTACATTCGCACGATCGAAGCGCCTTCCCGAAAGCGTGCGCGGGCGGAAGCCTATATGCGCCTGCAGCCGCTGCCAGTCGGATATCGCACCCACAGACATATCGCGCCCAAAAGCCCAAGGGCGCTCCCGATGACTATGCGAAGAGGCAAACTATCGTGGAAGCATGCCGAAAGAGAGTGAGTGGGGGGGATCAAAAAGGGAAGGTGGGGGGATGAGAGGGGGAGGGAAAGCAAGGATGCCAAGCAGTATCTCGGTATTTCAAACACAAACCTCTGGTGCCCTGTAATGGCGTATAAATATTGCTATCCCACCGCTTTCCTTTTCTGATATACTGTAGGTAGATTTCGCGTGCGTGGGGTTTGCTATTATACTTATTATTGTAGCGATAAACCACTTCACCGCACCCTATACGGCGTGACCACCTTACTACCCCCCGAACCATTCAAAATATTTTCAGTCATGCCATCATCACCAGATCCAGTCCGTTTCACAAATTGCTCCACACATGAGTCCCTCCTACGTGCCCGGAAAGTGCGAACGCATGTAGCACAGATGCTAATGGCGCCTTCTAGTCTATTAACCCCCACGCTGTATCTTTGCGTGAGGTACACCTACACTCCATGCCCCCTTAACGACGCGCCAACCCACCCAAGATGCCACAGGACAGAACCACCACATCCATAAGAGCTATGTCCTTTGAGAAGCAGGGACACTGCGGTACAAACTCTCCCTGACACTGCTATGTGCGGATACCTCTAGCCAACATAAGCATGGGTGGATATAATTGGAAAGATATTTACTCTCATGAGGCCCAAGGTCTCCTAAACGTGTCGTCGTTTCATGGGGGGGGCGGTAGCGCTTATCGCGGGATGACGTTTTAGATGGTTCGCTGTTCCGAAGGGCCTATCTAGATGCTGTCTTTGCATGAGCTCGTGAACTGTGAATGGGGAGCCACCTATTGGCCGCGAGCCTTCATGATGTACGTATAGGTCAATTGAGACCTCCACCTGGAGATCCACAACTGTGAAGTGAGCAGTACGTCCATACTCGCCGGTGAGCGGTTCGCCGCATCGCACGAACCTGGCCTGTTGCCTTTCCAGCCCTTCCAGGATTAGCCCTTGGGACACTACGCCCAACCGGCATAGGATGCGCCCTTCACAAACATATCCCCATGGCCCATACACTGGGGGCCTCTCCAGTTCAAAGTAGAAGAGGCTAGCTATTATGGCCCATGCTGCTGCATTTAATGCAAGATTAGAAGGTCTCGTCATACATAACTGTGGTATTTCAGCAGTGTCGTCGATTCCTGGCTCCTTCCCTGGTATTTGAACATTTAACCGATAGAACCTAGCTCTGCGCCGCAATGGTAATCCTCCTAGCAGCTTCTGCCATGCTGGTTCACCGTCTAGGAGATACATGTAAGAGCGGTACGCCCGAGAAAGAAAGCCACCCCCGCGAACCAGACTGCCGTCTCCCCGGGGCTCGAGAGGCCCAACAGGGCATTGCCCAGTTGAATGTGGGGTGTATAGAGTAGAGCCTGTACCAAGGGAAAGCACAAGGTCTGGTTCACTAGAATTGGGCCATATGTGTGAAGACTCCCAAAGGGCAGCACTGGTGGGGTTATTCTCCCATAGGCCCCCGTCCTGAAATGTCCCAAGACCGGCAAGATGCTTGGGGCTGAAGTACCTATGTCACCTCAGCAGGTGGGGAGGCGAGATGGAGTATATGCACTTACCAGGGTGCTGCCGATGTGCACCGTGCCCTATAAACCTGTTAGAATGTGAATGGTCACGGTGGGCGAGTATAAACATACGCCTCCCAAATCTTTGTTCCATGGCGGTATGGCCGTACAAGCATATATCCTGCATCATTAACTGCGGCCCTAACGTGCCAGGGGGAATGACACATACCACACTCTGCTGGTCGTACTGATCCATTGTTGTAATTGGTAAATATGCACGGAAGGGAGTTCGTCATAGTGGCGGTGACGGCAATCTTCGTTCTATGATTATCTGTGGAAAACATATCCCGCTCAGGTCCGAATGCCTCCTTCAGCGCCCCCTCCATAGTATCAGCACTGTACTGACTATCAGCCATAAACGAGAGCATATAGTCTATAGCGCAAGATAGGATAGGCAGGCATTTGAGACGAGGTCTTCTTCTGAAGGCTTTATTCGCAAGGCGGATAAATTGTCTCAAACACTCAACAACAGACCAGCCTCGAGAAAATAGTCCAAGTATTATAAGGCCCCCTAATATGGCAAAGATTAGCACTATACCAACACACCCCTATCCACCGCCATACCTGAGCTTGTACCAACCGCCAAATCGAAATGCTCCTGTATCGGGAGCTCCATACCAACTATCCTGCTAATTGCTGCCTCAAGCTGCATAAGCGAGGTAAGAGCCACCACCCCCCGCACACCGCCGCCGTCCACAGCCAGTATCCTGGCACCAGCTGTAGGTGGCTGTATATGGACCTTAACCCCATCAAAGCTGGCCAAGCAAACCATGCACCTAGAGATGTAGAATGTATATTCTTGATCCTTGCAATGCTCACCAAACACCTCGAGACATACTTCGCAAAATGAATGCTGACAAGGGAGCCTCCTATCAGGGATCCGCGCAATACAACTAAGGCACACAGTATCACAGAGGATCCTAGTACATGGGCCCCATCCCTTCTTCAGCGCCTCAAGATGGTAGTCCGCTGACCCCCGTTGATGATTATGAAGGGAATCCATCTCATATAGAGCAAGGGACCTAATGTCTTCCAAGAGCGTGACTGGCGAGATGACTCCTGCTCCGCGAATCGCTATCTCACATGGTGCAAGATATAATGTGTCAAAGATATCACATGGCGAAAAGGCTGTTAGGTTAGTGTTAGCTATGTATAGGCTAGGATCGACATACCATGCATTCCTGGGGGCATTGCATTGAATGCAATCCCAGAGGCAATTAGCTGTATGGTATGGGTGAACTGCTGAGGACTGAAAACCCGGAGAAAGGTTGTAAGGCAGTCTGCTAGGGTCGGTGGCACTGGGTTCTGGTAACGTGATGCAATTATCGGGTTAAATGGATCCTTGATTGTTTTTACTGCATGATCGCAAGCCTTCTGAAACAATGCGACCGTATGGGTAAACGAATAGAGGGTTCGCCGGCGACCCCTTCTTCTCCTGGCCTTTTGATAGCAGGCCAATATCTGCCCCATAATATTTGTATCTGATACCACTACTACCTCCAGGTCCAGCGGTTGCGGTCCTACCTTCGCATATATCATCTCGTAGAGCAGTTGCATTTCTACGGCATGGGAGACGGGGTCCAGAGATGTAAGCGGGGGTGGTTCCCAGATCACAATAACCTCTGGAAACCACAACCCCACTCCCCGTAGGTCTCGCCAGTGAGATAGGAGCCTAACCACGCCTGAAGGCCCGCCGACATCTGCAGCAAAAATGCATATAACATCCGTGAATGGCCCTAGCAGACTTCCGCACAGTAAACGGCGAACCTGGTCCTGAGAGCGGGGTCCATCATCCCCCCCTTCAAGCCAGAGGAGCGGTCGTCGGGTGTGTGGTACGTATAGATTGGGGTGATAGTGTGTACTTGTTTGGGGTGTAAGATCAACATCCAGAAGACCGCAATCCGCAAAGAGTACTGGCCCAGCCATCCCACAAAGATCGTGGTAATGCAGGTGGACGCCTGGCCTCCCTTGGTGCCGCGTTAGTATAGGCTTTAGGGCTTTGTATTTAGCATCCGCCCCGATTAAGACGATCAGTGCTGGCTCTGTACTGGCAAACATAGTTGCTAATGCCTGAAGCCGGTTATATTCTAGAAGGCAAATCCGATTTGCGTCGTTCACTACCGTTAGCCATAGGGTGCGATTTGCGTGCATCATGGCTTTTGTATGGTATAGCACCATGCCCTTGTATAGTAAGCCAATATCCTCTCTCAGGAAGGGTATTGCAGTAGCGGTCTTTTAAGAACCCTTGGACTGCCCCAACTGTAATGCCCCCCTTTAGGGGGTAGCCGGATCCGGTCACCCCCAGACCAGTGATCACCCAATTTGAAAAACGTGAAGGACAAGCCCTCCAGGTAATGTGGGGTACTCTATTCGGGCTGCACCCCGTTTTGGAGGTATTTAAACCGCAGCCCATCAAGGAGGAGTATAAGTACCTCTTCGCCCTAAGCCATCATCTTAGTTTACATCGGATCCAGCCTTCTCCCGAAATAGCAGTCCTCACTACTACCACATAGGGTGAACCAGCGTTCCTAGTTATGTGCTGGGTTCAGTTGCTCTATCTCTCACTCCTGATATCTGTAGCACATACCCAGCTCGAATTAGACTATGGGTAAGCTAGCCCAATCTCTACCCTAGACAGAACTAACCTGAACTTTCAGAGGTCTTACTGCTACGCAATACCGTGGGAACACTACCCTAGAAGGCACAAATCAGGGCTCTCGACGCATCACAGCAGGCTGTGAGGTCCTTGGATGGCATGTCCAGACCCTAACCGCCACCAGCGGCCTGCAGGGCAACAGCGTACATGTGGATCCCACCTCCGCCTCGTGGTCAATAGGTTTCAACGTCACACCTCCCCGTCAGACAGATAATACCCAACTGGAAACGCAATATGAGAGCATGGGCGTACATGGATATTGTCCCAACCTGCCTTTACCACTCCTTTGCGCTATTACGGTGGCTGTTGGGATAGTGCTCAATAGGGCAGAGTAGAAATCAGGTCTCCAATGGATATGTAGTGCTCTAGATGCACGTGACACTATAGGAAGTGCCAGCTAGGTAGCCTGAACAAAGCATGTAGGAAACTCATATAGAGACATTCAGTGTTAATCACCATTATCTCACTATACAACGCAGTACCATTTCCACGTAGACAATGACAAAGAAAGCAGCTTCCAGTTCTAGTAATGGCCTCCCATAAGCGATTAACAGCAGGTAGTGAAGGAGCTTCAGAAAGCCTATTCTGTACCTTGTAGCCTAGGTAGTGGAGAGTACTGGGAGGTCCTATACAAATAGCACATTATATGCCCTACCGGGCCACCCATGTTCGTAGTCATACAACAACCCACCCTGCAGGACTTTGGGAAACCGCTGCAACAACAAGCTCCCATCATGTAGCCAGTACATATTGGCAGAGGTGGGAATCTCAGAGCTGTGGGTCCATAGCAAGGGTTTGTGAGATTCCGCCACTGCTCTTCCCCCAATACATCCTCCCCTTTCCTCATCCACCCCCATTAGCTTTGGGATCGCGCTTCACACTGTTTGTCCGTTCCCGGGTAAGCCTCTCGCCTCCCGATGCCCTTCGGCTTTTGTTCGGAAAAGCGCTTCGGCCACGGGAGTGTGCGGAGGATCGGAAGGAAGGCACGGGAAGGGAAGCGCCGGCGGGAGGGATGGAGGAAGGCTTGAGAGAAGCCTAGGGGTTTGTCTTTTCCTCTGTTAGCGGTTTGTTATGCAGATTTGGAAAGGAGGAGAGGGAGACCTACGGCAAAGGCTTAGGGAGTGTCGTGAAGTTTGTTTATTTTAGTTTTGTTAGCACGAGGGTCTCTGAGAGGAGAGGGGGAAGGCCGCTTGGAGGACGGAAGGGTGCGGGGGAATAAGGGCAACCGGTGGGTGATATTCAGAAGTGAAGGGTGTCCTTTCCTTGTTAGCTTCAAGTTTGCACGGGGGAAGAGAAGACATACCTGGGGGGGTGAACACTTGGTGGTTTGCTACTTTGTCATTTTGTCACTTTCGCAATATACTCCTGTCTCTACTCGAATCTGACGTTGGGCTCTTCCAGAGAGTGCGAGTTACAAGTGACCATGGGTTGTGGCGGAGCAACAAACCCTGGCACGGTTACACAGTAACTTAAACCCCTACGGCCTCTACCGCCACGAATCCCCTGCGGAACCTCCTACAAACGGACCCCCTACGGCCCCTACCGCCACGAATCCCCTGCGGAAGCGTACCCCAAATTCCCTACGGCTTCTACCACCATAGATCCCCCACGGAACCTCCTGTAAACGGACCCCCTACGGCCTCTACCGCCATGAACTCCCCTGCGGAACCTCTACCCACGAAGTCCCCTGCGGAAGCCTACCCCAAATTCCCTACGGCTTCTACCACCATAGATCCCCTGCGGGGCCTCCTACAAACGGACCCCCTACGGCCTCTACTGCCCTGGACCCCCTATGGCCTCAATGGCCGAACTCACCCCAGCCCCAGCAGCCCCCCCGCAGCAGAATGACTAATATTCCTACTCCCACCCACCAAGTATCCTACCTTCCAAGGCCATCGACCTTACCCCCCTGAACGCTACCAAACAAATCACTCCTGATTTCCAGCTCTACACTTATCCAATAGATGCTGGGACCTGATTGCAGGCCCACAGAATCACGCTACGACCGGGCAAACGTGAACGCGATCAGGAGCGATGAGCTCTTGTCGTTTGCCTCTCGGAAGATATCATGGCATTAGGGAGGAAACGGAATGAACAGAGGGAACGCGATAAGCAGCTACAAACCTGTGCGGATGTTGATGCTCCGCTCTTTCATTGCCTGAAATGATGGCACCCCCAGTAAGCCTGCTAAGCCCCCCTGCTCTGTGTGATACTGCTAACTATAGATAGTGGGGAACGCCCCCTGGTGGGGTTGGCGATGTCTTCCCGTTTCTCGACCTCTCCTACATTTGGTTTTGTTTACATCTCCCTCTATTTCCGGTACTCAAGTAGCAATGTGGAGGGGATTGATCAAGGATTGAGATATTGTGCAATGAGAAAGTTAACCGAACACCCCAGTGAGTGTACAACTATCGCTCCCGGACAAGCCCTCACAACTGGGTATTTATGTTGTAAATACGGCTGCAAAAGAGGCCATAGGATTGTATATATTTCCCTATCGGCTAGACCCAGCCAGCCTGTAGACAGTTGAAGTCTGAAGTTCTGTGAGCAGTATCGAACTCCCCTAGTGATGCAGCGGCTCCTGGGACCATCGCTTACTGCTCGCATCTTCCCCCTCCACCGGTTGGGAATGCCAGGTGTATTCAGGGCATACCAGCCCTAATATCCTATCACAATACAAAGTATCAGCTGGAATACGCGCGAGTACTTACTAGTAGTATAGTACACAAGATAGTCACCCGTGTGGTTACCACACGGGGCCGAAATGGAATGTAGTTTTAAGTGATTACTATATTTGATAAATAGCAATTTACCCACAAAATTTAATGGTAGATATATATTGAAAAAAACCATTAATAAGAAAATTAAAGTCTTAAGAAATAATCAAAGTAAAAGAGAAAATAAGATCATATGAAAAGATGAATAGATGAATTCAGTGAGGACAAATAAGAAAGATAGGAGATAAAGGTAAACAGAATATAAAAGAGAACAATCAAATCATAGAGTAGAAAAGGCAGAGATATTAAAGAAAAAAAAGAATAGAAAAACTTATATATAGAAAACCTCAGAATACACAACATTTTTGCATAACCTTTCTTCTTGATATACTGAATCAGGTATGAATACTTTGATTCTTTCACTACTTGTTGCTCTTGATAATCCTGTCAGTGCACCGTTTCCCCTTATGAATGAATGAATGGGCCGCCATACCTGTATCCCTCATTGTTCATATTGTTCCATATATGCAACTATATCACCTGGATTTACAAGTGTTAGTCTTGTGCCGCTTAACAAACGACGATCAATCTGTTCCACAGATACCACCTTGTCCTCCTCATAGACCAAATACCTATCACTTAGGAAGCTGCTTAACTGTGATTGCATTACCGGGGGCCCTTTCCAATGATAGATATTAAGTATCTGCAACCTATCTGGCACGGTGGCTGCTGGCGACCTCTCCATAAGCACTCCATCCCCTCCTGGCCTCTCGATAACAGCAGCCGTACTGGCAGAGGTAGGCTGTGGGAATCCCATATCTTGTACGATGGACAACGCCCTCTGACCCGGAGCGGGCCTTCGATATGTGGAGGTGCTGCAAGTATCATCCCGACCCCTCTTTGCACCTGCTCTCTGCAATGTCCTGCGGCCAAAGAAAGCAAAGAATATCTCCTTTCGTGAGTATAGCGATGTGACATCCTCACCCGCTGGCTCCATGCCATATAGAAAATCCAGATAGAGGTAATTTCTATCATATTCGTATGATTGCTGAAATGGTCGGCCACAACGCCTTACTAGAGCCTCGCCTGGACCATGTGTTGTGACAAGCTTTGGGGCCTCTCTCAACCATAGCCTCTGAGATGGAATACTTTTAAGAACCCTGCTAATCTGGCATACACCCTTCTGTAGATCATCGGGCTCAATAGAGTATTGCCCTGCCGGCCGTGAGCTGAGAAGGAGGCCACGTGCCGCGGTCTCCTCTGGATCCGTTATGAGAAGCGCAGCTATCTGCTCCGATGCAAACCCGAGATGCTGTGCCAGTGCCGCAAACCCATACCAGGTCCTGGAATCGGGTTCCTTCACCTTAGGCTTTGGAATTCCATTTTCCTTCCTTGGGGTTGCTGGCACCATCTCGGGGAAGTGCCGCATGACATACAGCCAGAGCTGCTGGTATCCGAACTCCTGACCATCTATATCATTACCTGCGCATTCCCTGAATGTGCCATCCTGTAGTTGTATAGGTAGGAGACAATCCGTTGCACTATGCCTTGTATAGAGCTGAGACATAGATTCATGTATGGTACCTTGCGAGGAGTCGAATAGGGAACGAAGCGCCTTTGAACAACACTCTAGGTATATCAGGTCTTCAAAGAACGTAAACAGTGATGGGATCTGTCGCATCTGGCAGATACCTTCCCTAATGCTATAGCGATCTTGAATATTTATGACTGCTGGATATAGTAACATCGAATCCATTCCCAGTTCAATGTGATTCCGGTCAACCTTCGAAGCGCATGGTGCTCTCAACTGGACTAAATCAACAGTTTTGGAATCGGTACTAGCCATGATGTCTGGACGGTCAACACAAATACGTCTCCAAACATCTCGGATGTGTTGAAGATATCGTACAGCCTCCTGCTAGGAAGTCAGCAGATAATATATCAGAGATGAAGAGTGCTACCCGCCTCATCACACCTCATTGTAAGGAGCCTATGAAATGTTCCCAGCTTCATGGAAGGCCAGAGGCCAGGCCAGTCCAATAGGTTATCAAACGCAGTTCGCAGGGGCTCGTTTGCAAGAAGTTGCTTGAGATCCCTTTGCTTACTAGGTGAGAGTTGACACCACATGTTCCTCTCCAGTTCCACCTGACCAGACCTGCTGTATAGGCGTAGTTTCCGAAAGATCTCTCCATCGCTCGTTTGCTCATAGTCCGCATAGCCATCACGGAAGTATTGTCGTAGTGCCTTACTAGAGTCTATTCTATTGCGTAAGTATTGGCCACACCACTAATCACTATGACTAGAGACCTCCCTTGATCATATAGGTCAACCACCCACCACCTGTTATTATCTTCAAGATACCGGCTCGCTGCGAGGATACGATGCTGTCCATGAAGGCACTCGACCGAGGCCTCCGGGAATACTAACAGTGGTGGATCATCTTCAGAGCCGAGTAGCGTGTCAGGTACAGCTCCGGATACCTCCAGGGCAGTGGCCAAAGCACTAGACTCAATTAATGCTGGTATACGGTGCTCACGCTCACGCCTGAGGCAGCCCCGGACCCGGTAAATGTTCACCAGCCGATCTATATTCCTCTGATTAATTGCCCTCACCCCGTTCTCGGAGAATCGAAGAGAGGTTATTGACAGGCGGGCAGTTCCTTTGAACCGGGCGTGACGTTCCCGCATAATCTCGCGTTCTCTCAACTCGGCTGTTATCTGGCTGGTCATTCTGCTGATGTGGAACGAGAAAAGCTTTGAAGCAGCTCATCTTTGCGAATCAGTCTATCATATGTGCCAGAGGGATTTGGGCCCACCCTCCCTGTGAATACACCAAGTATATATAAATATATCTGGCCACCGACGGGTCCAAATGGCTATAAAGGGACACTCCAAGCTCCCCTCAGAGACATATACCTCGCTGCTTTCACCTTCAGTCTTTCCTCCCCTTCCACTCACTGTCTGCCAATGTCCACAGCACGCGACCCCCCAGGGCTGCCGCCTCCTGGTGAGGCATCTGGGCGGCCCTTTGCCTTGCCAATATCTAATGAGCACAATCTAGCTTGGCCCACAATACCCTCCGGTGAGGCATCAGGATATCAAACCGCCTAATCAGCTGTCAATCAATTTGCTAATATTGGGTGTTATTAACACAGGACTAGCCACTCCATGTCCCTGCCACCAATGTAATAAATTCCGGCATCGGCAATTAGAGTTCCTGCATCACCAGCTAGAGTTCCTGCATCGTCAATGTGGTACGCTCTATGCCGATGCAGAGAGATACCGCCATGCATACGAGGCCTTTAGCGCAGACAACGACGCCCTGATGGTACGCTATCGGAAGCTGGAAGACCACGCAGCAACTCTGGAGGCAGAACTTGCACGGCTCCGTACCCAACCACGGGGCCCAAGGCACATTCTCACCCACCCAGCGATTTCGAAAGGGCAGGGCCTTCGTACTGTAAAGGAGGTCCTGGATGGCCTAACCCATAAGTGGAAGGCAGGGGAGAATGGGGGGGTAGGGGCATGTGACAGTACCCCAGACCCCTCTCAGGCGGGGGGGAGGATGTCTTTAAATAGCCTAGCCATGTAACCTTAGTGGAACGGGTAACACATCCTATTCCTATCTTAAGAGACCCTAAGTTAAAAGCATACAAATGAGTACGTATCCTGTATAGAACGGGTGACTGCCCGTGAACCCAGTAGGCACCAAGCATATATATATGTTGCACCTCACTCGGGGCTCAGGGGTAAATGCGATACAATGAATCCGGTGCAGTGGTATGCAGTGGCCCTTGGCGCTCTGGTAGCCCTTCCGACTTTCTTTCTGCTCACATGCATGTTTCTCTCACATTTATATGGCCTGGCAAATATCCCATTACGCCGGCACCTAGTATATTCCAAGGTCCCTCAATGGCTAGGGGGTGCCCAACGTTTGGACTGGCTCCAGGTTCTCGCTATCCTCTGCTGTATCGCAGCGACCTGCATATGTATCCTAATCGCCTCGGATGGAACACCCAGCATCCGGAACCGTACTGGCCAACTAGCGACCATTCACCTAATCCCACTTTGTCTGGGTAGCCGAATGAGCCTCCTCACGAGTTACTCTCTGCTATCATACCATGGGCAACAGGTTGCACACCGCTGGCTAGGTTGGATAGCTATTAGCAATGGGGCGATTCACTCCATTGTCGCGTTGAGCTTCGGGAGGCCCCTCGAGCATAAAGGGGTGGGTGTTAGTGGCCTGGTAGTGAGTCAGATATCCCTCCATACCCTGACACGAACCTAAACCTTATAGGCCAGTCTCGCACTACTTGCGATGATTATACTATCACCGCTGCGTCTGTACGCACGAACATATGAAACTACTGTGAATGCACATGTTGCACTCTCTATTTCTTTGTTAGGGTCGTTGTGGTATCACCTCTATGCCCTTCCATCTCCATCTTGGTTAGGGTTAATCTACCTAAATACAGCCATTGGGATTCTAGTTATAGGCTGCCTGCTTAGCTGTGTACATGTATTGTATCGCAGCTACAGGACAGGTTGGCATCCTGGGGTTCTCAGTATCCGTCAATTGACGGATGCAATCCAGATAACCATCGAGGTACCACGGCCATGGACCTTCAGGGCCGGTCAACACATCTACCTGCGTGTGATCGGAATGGGTATTCGGGCTTTGTGGCAATCACATCCCTTTACCGTTGCCTGGTGGGATCAGAACAGGGTCACCCTTCTTATCCGGCCCCGCGGCGGGTTCACCAGAAGATTACTTCTCTATTCTGGCTGCAGACTACATGGCCTGGTTGAGGGGCCCTTTGGGACTGAGCATGATCTGCGGCCATATGGGGCGATCATAATGTTTGCGTCAGGGGTAGGGATCGCAGCGCAGGTACCATATATCCGGCGTGTCTTGGAGGGTCACGATACCTCCCAGGCATGTACGCAAAGTATTGCCCTATACTGGCAGCTGGATAGCGAGGGTAAGGCCCACTAGACCGCTCAGAGGCTTGATGAGACTGACAGCAAGGAGCGCACCAGGAATGGGTGAAGGAGTGGATGGATGAGCTACTAAGGCGTGACATGCATTACGTAAGTATTCTACCAGTGGCCGGTGTGCAGTATATAGGCTAAACTAACAAATAGATCCTGAGCATATTCGTATTCGTTTCGGGAAATTACAATGACCCCCTCGCTTGCCCGCGGGGTGCGGAATGTTTTGGCGAGCACCATCGTGTGAATAGGATTTTCGGGGATCTCGATGTAACCACCACTCTGTGTGGGGAGCTGTCCAACAGGCGGGGCAAGACCGCTGTAGTTGTCTGTGCAGGTCCTGCCATGGCAGATGTTGTCCGGCACACTGTGCGCAATGCCCTTAGGCGTAACGTCACTCTCCTAGAGCTTGGGGTCTGGCCAGGGCCCTCGGGGGGTGGGCCCATGATCGCGGTGCCACCCGTGAGCTAGGGGAACGGCTATACGCTCAGGGGTAGGTAGGTAAGATGTATTGGCATGGGGGTCTCAAGGGCGGGTGATAGGCCATGATGCTATAATTTAAACTTAACCACAATACAATGTTCCCATCACATCCCCGTGGTCTTTCCCCCAAGGGCAATAGAGAGCACACATACCATGCATCAATGTGTAGATATCCTAAGTGGAAATGCTGCCTCCCACACTGTGGACATGGTCACTCACTCGGGTTGACGCTGGTCCAGCGCTCCCGGGGGCACCTCGTTCATACTATGCCCCCAGACCCGCGGAAAGTCCCCAGACGTGCCCCATGACATGGCCGAGGGGGCGCCGACCTCACCACCAAGGCTAGGGGTAGTCAGCCCCAAGACACCCCTCCTCCCGCTACAACACGAGTACCTTATGCAGTTCCAAATCCGAGGAGGGGTAGGGATCTCCAATCCCTTCCCCTCCCGAATCTCTAGAATCCTATTTCCCCTCTGCAATGCCTAAGCCAGAATTGGTTATCCATCTACCCCCAACAAGACCCACACAAGAGTAGACAATCAGGCGGAGGGCAAGCCATGCAATACATGAACGTCTCATAGCCACAATTAGCCACGTCCTCCTTGCAGACCATCAACCCTTGAGCCCTATCTGGCCCTCAAGATACCGTAAGCTATACAGGTGTGGGTGGGTGGGTGTCGGCACACCAGGTACCCAATTATGCACCAAGTATGCAATTATACACCAGGTATGCAATTATACACCAAGTATGCAATTATACACCAAGTATCCAATTATACACCAAGTATGCAATTATACACCAAGTATCCAATTATACACCAAGTATGCAATTATACACCAAGTATGCAATTATACACCAAGTATGCAATTATACGCCAAGTATCCAATTATACACCAAGTATGCAATTATACACCAAGTATGCAATTATACACCAAGTATGCAATTATACACCAAGTATCCAATTATACGCCAAGCATGCTACTACGTACCAAGTATGTAATTACATCATGGTATCCCGAGTACACCGAGCACCTGATCATAAACCGTACACCCTGGGCGCTATTATACACAAAGTATGCAAGTATGTCACCATGCACCAAGTGTGCAATTACTGAATGCCAATATGAAATGCCTGACACCACATCTCCTGGAGTTTGCCGAGCTCGGATTGGAGCCTGCGTGGTTGGAAACGCCCCTGACTTCCGATCCTCCACAAAAGGCTGTCCAAGTACTGCACGAGGAAATCCCACAAAGCATGCTCTTCCAGGCAAGCATTACCGAATGCATGCGGCTAGTGGGAACGAGGTCCCATTGGCTGCGGATAATGGGCCCCCCAGACCCCACACACCACACAGCTCACCTGTTCTAATTCCTCGTTTCGTTACTGCACTTGCAACGCAACCCCTCCCTGCTCATGTTTGCCACACACAATTCCGGGTACGGATCCCTAGCCAGAGGTACCAAAAGACAGGGATAAGCTTTGTGTGCACATCCAAGTCCTATCTCTTGGACCGGCAAGACATTGAAACCTTCGTGCCATCCCTGTTAGTTTTAGAGACATAGATGACCAAGGAGAGGTTAAACCCCACCCTTGGTATTCCTCAGTGATATTAGCGTAAGTGTGGTCATGTGGCTAATATTAGCTGTATACCTGCAAACCTTTAGTCATTAACAAAAGGGTGCTTATTAACAGCTGTCTCGAAAACGAACAGGGGTGGCACGAAACCTTCAGTGTCTTGCCAGTCCAGAAGATAGCCTCTACACGCATCCCTGTCTCCTACACCATACAACATCTCCGCATCGTCCGACCTACTGTACGATACCTTCTGAGCACAGCATGTAGATTGAGACCGTTATTGGGTAATGCTGGAACTTGCACCTGTACCAGTAGCCGAGTTCCACCAGGCTAGCGAGTGACCGAAGGTTGTACTCAAGTACAGTACCCAGATCAGAGACAAAACACCGCGACAGGGGATAGTGCTGTCCAGACGGAATATAGCTGGGAAGGTGTGAGTTGCCTAGACCTCAATAACAGAGATATTTCACTGACCTATACCGTGTGCTATGTCGTTGGACTTTGCTTTCTAAGTATGGTCAATAAACCATGAAGTGTTTTTGCCTCCTCCCCAGAAAGAGAACTTCGGATTTCATAGCACGCGGTCCAGTTATTCAAGTTTTGCGGTATGGCTGAGCCCCTTGTGGTTTAGATTGTGATTTGCGCTGAGATCCCCGATGGACTAACAAGTGTATTGTAACTAAGTACAAGCTAATATTACAGTACCTGTATTAGTGCAGTCTCTAAGATGGACAAACAGGTATTGTTGCACGAACCCCATCAGGGACGGGGGTCGCTGACTGATGCTGAAGACTGAACTGAGGCCTGATCCCTGTTCATCGCTTTTGCATGAGTAAATCAACGTCCTAGAGCAAGGTTCAATTACTGGTATTCATGTTTCTACGGTAGTGGGATGGGGATGAAGGGCTGCAGGAGATCCTATAGGCCTGAGGGCTAGGGGCTAGGTCTAGCCGCTGCTATAGCCTCGGGGCTAACCGGGAGACAGGGTCCCCTCGGGGACACGTATTTTCACAGGCGCACCAACTCTAGTTAGGATTTAGCCCCCAGCCTGCATCTGGTATTTATACTGACATGGAGTACCCCCCCCCCCCGGACCCGCAGTAACAGCACCACTACAACATCTTGTATCCCATTTCTGGAGCTCTACTACCATGAACACTACTCTAAACACTACTCTACACGGTCTGTTGATATACCCTACAGTACCGCATACATACTAATAGCCCCAGGAACACCATACGAGCCCCTGCAGTCTGGCCATGGAAGTCCGCCCGACGCCAGTCTCATCATAGCCAGGTGGATGCGTGATCGCCAGCTTGGTACCCAGCGCCTCCAACACAAAATCAATCAGGTTGGTCACCTCGAGCGCTGTCTTCAGGCTATCCAGCAACAGAACATGGAGGCCAGCTCTAGGCTGTGGGTATTGTCTCATGAGTTGAGGGAGTTGAATGAGTCCAAGAGGTCGGAGGTGCCGGAGGGGTCGGAGGTGCCAAAGGGGGAGGGGGGATTAGAGTCCGAGGGGCCCCAAGGTGCAAGGGAGGTCAAGGGGGTAGAGGGCACCCAACCGGCGGGGGCATCTGGCTCGCATGCCACGGATACATGTCCATAGCCTTCGCAAATAATACCATACCAGATTGCACCATGTGTAACCCCCCAGAATGCCTGCCCCGCGTTAGCCTTGGGTGAGACCGTGATTATGTGTCTCGCCTCCCACATAACCTCGGTGTGGATGCCTACCACTGTAAATATAAAAGGCTACCTCCATTACCATGGTGATAATAACCTTGGAAGCTTACCTTTGCCACCTGCCCTCTTCCACAATTACTTACACAACGCGAGCATCATCCTACGACCAACAGATATGCTATTTCCCGACAGCGCTGACAGCTTCCGGATGGTAGCTCAAGTTCAACTCGCCGTGCTGAGAGATCTACCGCTAAGCCCAGAGGAGCAACGTCCCTCTGCAGCGACAATGCTTCATGGGCAAAACAACATGAGCCTACGTAGTCAGGTAATCATAGCACCCCTCCCTTTACAAATTCGCTTACACAGAATCAGGGTAGGATAGCGCTGACTGCAGCGATGGGGATGTACCATGATATACCCGTCGGTGACCGTATACGATTAGCCAATAGCCTCGAGGTATGCCCCCCCGCTGCTGACAGTTCTATGCTAAGGTCCCTAGGAGCAGATCAACGGAGCATATGTTGGGCGGGACTATCAATATCGTATTTATGTAGAGGGGGGCCGTCTGCAGGTGATTATCGATTCCCTTACCGAAGCCCAGATCCTACTAATTGCCAGCTAGGAAGCCCCTCACCGTGTTGCACAATTGATTGCAGAAGGCACAAAGGCCAGTGCACCAGATACAGTCCCACGCCCTGTCGCACGTACGGACACCTAAGGTGCTCTAGAGGGGAATCAGTAATAACTCGGACTTTGGGTAAAGATGGGCAACGCATGTCTAGATTCTAGCAATGATGCGTGGATATTTTGTAATTTTAAGTTGCCGGGTGCCCTACTAGCTATGCGGACCAACAATATGTAATGTCCTTTGTACCACCTCACTCAGCAAATCAACAATCCACGCGCTAGCGTAGTCCGTCTTGGGCAAGCTAAGCGCCTACCTTTCCTTTCTATATGCCCTACCAATCTTTGATTCTAATGACTCAGAGATAATTAATAGTTTACAAGATCTCCCTCCTAATATTCCAAATCCGGTGACCTGCTTTATAGCTAGTAATGCCAATACCCAGGGTCTATTAGACCTTCCATTGTATGTTTCAATGCCAAGGCTTTGACTAGGCACTGGGTATGGTACAACCATTGCGGAGCCATCTATAGGTACATTTCAGACAGGCTAGGTCCAAGCACGCGATATTAGCGACATTACTAGAAAGGCTTAATAGGACCCTCTCTGTGTCTCTTGCAATATTTAGGGCTTAAGGGGTAACCTGATATTCATAGTATGCATCCACCTCTCATACAGCTATATGTGATTGCCATCCTACACCTAGTACTGCAGACCGTGTGAGCCCTCAGCGAGGCATTGCGTTGTTCACCACTCCAGATACTACTATTTGCTACAATAAAGCGACTTCGAACCCCCGCCACCTCGTTGAGGGTACCGCCTCGCTGAGTGCTCACAAGGTCTTATATCTTTATCGGAGGGGTGGGTGAGATGAGCAATTGACCCAGGGGGTGGGAAGCCAACTGTGTCGGATCCCCCTGCCTCTATCTGGGCCACCATGTACGGGCAGCCTGCTTATAGGTCTACACAAATTAGAATGCCATATCATCTAGCGCCGTTCGATAGCATTAACATGTGCATTGCCTCGCTGCCTCACCCAACAGCACAATTATAGGGTAGCTCAGGCATCTAAACCGCTATATTCAGTGGCCAGGTCACCTCTGTTGATAGGCCCACTGGCGTAAACGATATCCATGGGGTGGCCCCGCTGTTGCGGCGCTGCCACTAACCACCTCTGGCTAGCATCCACTCCTTGTGTTGGATATGATTACCGGTGCATGTATAAGGGAAAGGGATCCGAGCTCTATGGTGCTGTGCATGTAGTAGGCGCAGCCATCTAGGCCCATCAAACCTATGATCTGATCCCCTCCTTTATAGTTCATTTACAGGCAATGCCATGTAGGTCGATTAGATCACCTATTAAGGGAATATTGACTCGGTGCTTTCGGGCTTGCTACCCGCGCATGGACACTATTGGCTAATGGAGTAACAGTCTGAGGTCAATTCTATCCTGAGACCAGCTCCAGACACATCCTAGATACAGAGCAGGACCCCCTCCCCCCCCATAGCCATAGTAGTACTAGCCCCCATGAACCCCACCTGTCCAATCCACCCCTCCACCTACTCAACCCCGAAGCTGCAGGCCCGCGCTCATTTTGACACAGATGGCCTCACTACGGTAATGCTCGTTAGGGTGCTGAGGTCCGCTACTGGTGTGATCGTACGTGTGGTCGTCGAGCGTACCGTATATAGTGCAGTCGTGAGGTTCCAGTTTATGGTACTGTTACAAGACGATTCCATATACCCTGATGGGACCGCTGTCCATGGTAGGGTCGGCATCATGGTGGTATGATGAATAGGAAGTGTGCCGATATCGTAGGTCGAGTTTGGCCTGTATGCACATTGTGGGGATGTCGCACCTGGCGTTGTCATTAACGTAGTGTAGTTGCGTTGCAAGGGGAATAGGATTAAATCAGATGTCATGTTGGTAACCGGGTCGCACATACAACGGCCGTAGTGCGGTACAGACATCACTGGCCAGCATGATGCCATGAGGAATGCAAGGAGAGCAGCCAAGGTAGGATTCATATCGTATCGAGACTGTATGTTCATGTTTGGAGTTATAATAGTTATAATAGTAAAATGGTCATTGGGCGTTCATCGCAGCTTAGATTACACTATATGTATCCACCCCCAAGCGCCCATGTGCCAGCATAGGATAGTATCTCCTGTCATGCCCCTCTCACCCACCCAGCTCGCCCACCCCCGGGTAAACCCCACCAGCGGCCTCAACTCTGCTGACCAGGTCCACAATTTCACTGCGTAATCTCTCGTGTTCCTCCTGCCCTTGACAGATAGACTGTCGTAACTGTTGTTCACGGGCAAGCCATGCTTGTAGGGACCTTTGGATTCCGATGTCCTCCATAATCCAGGCGTTTAAGACTCCCAGAAAGTGCCGCTTCTGCTCTGTGGTCATGGGCGCCTCGGTTTGCTCTGCCATACTTAGTGAGTGGTACCCAGATTGGTTCAGGATTACTTGCCTAGACCATCAGTAAACATTATCCCTGTGCTATTGTAATGCGACATTTCGATCAATAATTGGATGCTAATTTGGGGTTACTACCGGTTGGATGGCCCCTATTTATACCTGATCAAACAGTATCAGGTAGGCCCATGTATGTCCAATACAACATCGCATAAATCACACACCCTCAGAGTGTAGGTCCCAATTGATAATGCATATATTCCTGGTATCTGGTACTACCAACCACCTCTGGCACTAACCAAGTGCGGACCTTTACTGCATATCCCTATCGCCCAGTATTCCTATCTGTGCTTTAGGCCTCCAATCTATTGTGTATCAGTATCCACTAAGTATTCTGCACTCACTAAGTATATCATAGTATGTTGCCCCCCCCTTGGAGGGGGTTCATGCTGCAATGTATAAATAATACAACGTACGACAACCAGGCACAGAGTAATCCTCGATGGGTCCATTAGCGCGACGTCTGCCGCGCCGACAGGCCTCCTACACGCATGACGAGATTGAGTACATTGTATCGCTGCGAGATGAGACAGGGCCACGGAGGTGGGAATCTATTTTGGCGGCCTTCGGAAGGCGTTACCCATCCACCACCAGGACCATCGATGCATTGCGCCACCAATACTACAAAGTGAGTACATTCGGAACTAGTTGGGAATAATTGCTAATAGTCAACAGAGGAGGGAGACGTGCGAGGGTTGCGAAGATGTGGTTAGGAATCAAGGCGGGCACAGTCACAATGACTGGGGGTGCCAGGACGAGAATCGCGCGGCTGGCAACAACAGAGATGATATCGAAGATCGGTATGACAGAGATGTGGATGCAGATAAAGATAGGGATAGGTACAAGGATTACCATGTGCACGGGTATGAAGGCGGGTATGGGGAGGGCGGCTCTGTCACCTTCGCAGGCTTTGTCCACAATGGGAGCCATACTGCTGAGGGAAACGTCAACATTGGAGCTAACCCTAGCGATATCGACATCGACATCGACACCGGCATCGGGGCCAGCGTCGGCATCGACAACATCATCGGTCAGAGAATCATCGACGGCGACAACTATCACCAGGGGGGTAACAATGACGACAGCGACAACAACAACGACAGCGACGACAGCGATGACAGCGACGACAGCGACGACAGCGACGACAGTGAGGACAGTGACGATAGTGAGGACAGTGACGACAACAACAACAACAATGATAAGGATGACAATGATGATGAGGATGACGATGAGGACGATGAGGACGAGGTGGATGACGAGGATGACGAGGATGAGGGGGACGAGATGCAGGAGGACGAGGATGGCGAGGATGAGGGGGACGGGATGCAGGAGGACGAGGATAATTACGATCAGGGCGAGGAGGAGTGCGATGACGGCAACGAGGGAGATGATTACAACGAGCGCTACGACTATCAATATGGGGATAATGGCTTCGACCTCGGCATCCACGGGAGAGAGATCGGCACCGGTATCGACACCAGACTATTGGAGGAGGCAATGTATGTCGGCATGGGCCTGGATTACATGTGGGAAGGATTGGACATCGGCGTGGGTCAGGGCCCCACCAGCAACTTCGATCTAACGATAGCCGCGGCCCTAGGGCATGGGGTAGAGCCGGGGGCTCTCGTATTTCCGCCACTCCCTTCGTGGCTGCTGGAACAATACGGAAGGCAGGGTGCCACCCAGAGTGGACCGTCCTAGAATCATGTTGTCTCTACGAAGTAGATATGATAGCTGAAAGAATGAATTTATTCCTACTCTTCCTGACACCCCACACCATGTGTGATTATCCGTGACCTCTACGTAATTTAACTTTCCGGTTAAGACTGTACTGCTAGTTTGAAACTCCCCTCATGTGCCACGGTGTCCTCGGATGCCACGAAAGATCAATCCGGTAGTACAATTACCTTATGCTCGTGCCAAGGTTGCAGCTAAGGCGCTGCAACCTCCGAAATTCGCTTGCTCAGTTTTTGGGGCACTCATCCTGAGTGCCCGACAGCTCAATGCAGGAATGTGGCTCGGGGATGGAGCTCAACATAGGAGTGTGGCCTAGCCCCGTGGCTCAATACAACCTGTGGCGCAATAGAGAAATGTGACTTATTGAAACCTGATGGCTCAATAGCACTATGTGGCTTAATAGAACAGAGCCACAAACTGGTATCAGGCACTCAGGATGAGTGCCCCGAAAGCTGAGCAAGCGAATTTCGGAGGGCACTCGCAGAGGGACACATACCCGGAGCCCTACAATGGGCACCTCCACACTTAGGTACACTACCGATATGGATGCGCCCCCGATTGGGCCAATGGCAGCTGTCACTTGCCCAACACATGCGCCGCGGGCAGCGAGACCCGAGACCCGGCCTCTGGATATAACACCCCCACAAGGCCCCTCGTATGGCCTATCAACAATATAAACATGTCGTTCCTACAACTTGCCATCATTACCTTAGTCCTCGTTACACCCATACCTGCACACTCCTGGGTAGGACTCACACCGGTTTAGAGGATTCGCTAAGAATGCGTAGATCGATAACCTGGCACTTGCCACATCATCGGCCGAAGTCGAAGGGAGCCCTGGTTATGCCCGCAATTACAGTACGTGGCCACTCGCCCCGGGCATTGCGGTCACTAACATTCATTGTAGCTGGTCACCTTGACGATCAGGCTATGAACAAGATACTAGAGATCACCCTGGAAACACCCGTCTGTAAGGATACCCAGCTAATGCAGGTTCAGGGTCTAGGGTTTCCACGATTGGCGGCGAAGCCCGGGTCGCGCGTGCGTGCCAACTACACCGAGAATGGTCACATTTCGAAGCCTAGAGCCGCTAGCTCCACCGGCGATACCGGTATAACGTTCTGGTACGGGACGTCGCACCCGGCGCAGTGTGACACGCTCTATGAGGTGATGGAGTGGGGGGCTGGTGGGGACCAGAGGGGAGAGCGTAGGGCATACCATCACTACCCATCTGAATATCCGTATAGCTAATCCTTCCCAGTTCTTACTGTGGCACCCTTTGATGATGGTACCTGTACCGAAGCCAATGCAACCCCCATATCACAGGCGCGAGGTGGCGTGGACATCCCATGCAATAGCATGTTCACAATCCCGCTGGACGTGCAGCCCGGCAGCATCTACACAGTTTATTGGATCTGGGACTATTCCGACGAGAAGCATATAGAGGTACATCTCCCCTCTGGACCCACACCGTCCATACCCTGACGGCCAAAATTAGATATATACAACCTGTGCCGATATCGATATTGTAGGAGAAACTATGCTAGGGATACTGTGATCTTTATAGGTTAATCTAGTCTGTCGACGCGGTGGCAATATGAGGGATGGCCCTTATAGTCAGGTGCGAGGGGACCTGGCCTTTTAGCTATTTAGATGCAGTAGGAATAGTCGGTCCTGCTATTTTATATGAACGAATACGGCCTGGCTCTATATCCCATGCTGCTATATGCTGTGCCATTCAGAACTAGAGGGTACCAGCTTCCATTTCAATGTGTCATAGCTCTTCAATTCAGATAGACCCCCCAAGACCTACTACCATGTCGCTCGTACAGTCGCATCGCTTTCAAATACATTACATAGGCCCCCTCGCCCCACTGTTAGGAACCAGAGAAAGTACTATTCCGGTCCAAGCACAACTATCCTTCCCTGACTGCAGTGCCCCCAAGGTGACTACCCAGCACCGCTCAATACCTGTTGTCTAAACCTCCTAAGTATCGCCATCTGCAGTACAACCATCCTGAGGTTTTGATTCTCATAGTAGCGGTATATTTCATCCTTTAATAGGTTCTGGATTTTTATTCCTTTCCTTGATGATCCCACGTCTACTCCAAGATCCTATGTGATGTCAGTGAGGGTGTTGAGAAAGTAGGTCTCAAGCCATATACCAACTCAGGAATCGGTAGCTCATTTATATCGCAAGACACCCCAATTACATCGCTGTTGTGGACCGGCCCACCAGGATTCTATCCAGCATTAGCGAGGTTTGTGTTAGTGATGATTTGGGTCAATACCGATTTCTCCATCGCTACCACACCAATGTCAATCGTCTGGATACCGTTTATAGTTTACACTCCCTGGACTACTCCATGAGGTTACAGGACCCCTTTATAGAATTTCCCTCCACCCTTCCACCATGCCACACAGACTATTAATGTCAATACTTGGTGCAAAATTAGGATGGGTATCCCGCGACAACCACACCCCCAGCCCAGAATATATAAAAAGTCAACTGCACAATACCCAATGGTCCGGCTAAGGAACCAGCAATATCCAACAATATTAAATATGACTGAGCAGTACGATCTAAGCGAGGAGGCAATACAGAAGTTCGTTGATGACTTTATTGCGGGGGATGCGCTACAGGTTGGCCGCGACCTTGATGGCAGCAATACCCTCGATGGGCCTAGACTGTCTGAAGGTCTATCCCTACCAGGGACAGAGGCCCTTAAGGCCCTGGAGGGCCGTGTTCGGCATCTAGAGGAATGGTACGTAACCTGCACATATAAGGATTCTTGTGTACTAATGGACAGAAAGCCTAGGGAGCGTAGCCACACAAGCCCTTGATGGGTCTACACTAACTGAAGAGCTATCCCCGCCGCGGCCTGAGTACCTAGGGGCCCTGGAGGGTCGTGTTCAGAGCCTAGAGGAACGGTATATAACCGCATCCGCATGGACACCAGATCACTAATTGGAGCTGAAGTCTAGGGAGAATAATTGCCTATCTTGAAGGGTTTGAGCGTTGGACAGCCGAGGTCTCCAGCGCCCTCAATACCTCGAACAGAAAGGCTCAGGGGAACGGTACAGGTTAGAGGTATAGCATTGGGTCTGCCTCTAGGGTGCTAGTTGGGATAGGTTATGGAACTAGTATCTTAGTGGATTGGGGTAGAGTAGGATTCAATACAGAATGTTCTGGAGGCTCGGCATGTGGTTCATATGTGCCCAGACAGTGTGGTGCAAACAATATAGCATTCAATAGACCAGCCCAATAGTGCCACATATCCGGGAGCCCCTACTGAACGGTGGAAGGTCCCAGAGGTAAACAAGAGATATACATTTGGAGATACTGGCGGTTATATGCCCCTACAGGCGAGAGGGCGTGGTGGCCGATATACGGATGTATGAGGCAGTAGTCTGTCATTTCACATTACAGTTCACATCATTTCACAATTTGATTACAGTTCACATCATTGATAAAACACTTTATTGCCATCAGATGTAATAGCACCCAATAGTCCAGCTTCACACTTCCACTCCTCCCTATATCACTATACCAAGTAAGGCTCAGTACATCGTTACGATAGAGTAGAATATGACACCTACCCTGAGCTCGGCCTCCTCCTCTGTAAGCTCCCGATCGGGGTCTGGGCTCACAAGCCCATGCTGCGTGAGATACCGGGAAAGGAACTCTAGTACCTTCTCCGGATCGCACCTCCCCTGACCATCGTTGAGACCAAGCGTAGAACGCAGTTCCTTAGCTTTGCTACGAACTGCATCTAATGTTCGTGCTTTCTTCCCTGATGGCATCTTTGCATACCGGTCCAATAGTGTAGCAATAGACTGATGCGTGAGTCCATGAGCAGTGTAGAATAGGAGATAGGCGACCTCGGCGGGGGACCAGGTACCCGATGAAGAGTTCATAGATTCTGCGCGGATTGTGGATGGGGTCTGGGCTAGCGATTGAGGTGACCAGGGTTGTCTTGAGTGAATAGGCAATTCAGTGTGTGGATAGGCCTAGACCCCCCCAGGTATATATAGCTTGCACTAAGCTATCTCTTCAAATAAGGGTGTGTTGGAAAATAGCGAGAAGGGCGCAGTCTATTGCTACTAGAGTCCAGAATGATGTATGGTGGCCCGGGCCTCGCTTGAGGAAGCCCAGTTGGGCAAGACACCTGACTAGAGGGTATGCCATTCAGGTGGACCGACATCAGATGGCAGGTCTAGCGGTTCCATCAGTTTCCGGCGGTTCCAGTGGTTTCCGGCGGGTCCAGCGTTTCCGGCGGCCCAGCCTAGCATGGACAGCTCTGTGAAAATAACATCGAGTCTGCCATTCACTGCCATTGGGTGGTGTGAATGCAACCACAAATACCGCAAGACCCAGGATGCCGAGCACACATTTGAAGCAGACACAAAGGAAGGCGGAGGTGAGGGGGTTGCATGCCAACAAGCAGAATTTGCTTTCATCCCTTACCCCCATTCACGCGCCTTTAGCGCGGGACCAACACCGTGATCAGCAATAGCTAGGGCAGAATAAGGAAAGCTAATCTATGATTAAAGTGCTGCGACAATCCGGCCCTGTTTTAATTCCTGAGCACCTGCCCGTTTTAGTACTTGTGATAGATAACCTACTCGTAAAGCTCAGTGGATCCCAAGTGGGGTAGCGCTCAGAATATAGCGAAGTGAGTAAAGGTCAGCATAGCAATGACAGAAGCAGGATTTCCATGTAAACCTAATCCCACTTACATGAATAGGCTAGTGTTCAACCCTTTAACCAAGGCTAAATGTCTCTGCAGTTTAAGAAATACTAGTACGGTACTCTTTGCTCATACAGCTACATCTACAGTTGTTGCCCCTGCTTCTCTGCGAGTACTACCTTTGCGCCAGTGGTTGAAAGCCGTTTAAGGGTGCGGTCAGGCCACATGGTGGCCAGCGGCTAGCTGGACGATGGATAGTCACTACCCAGGTACTTCATGGGCTTCCCCGCACCCGGGTATCTCAAGGCCTGGTGCGGGTGGGTAGTTCGTATTACCTCTTACAGAGCCGACAGCCAATGGTAGGCGCTTTTCCGGTAGGAGGTGGATTGCCCTAAAACTCTTGTTTCTGCTACGTTATGGCCATGCTAACCGAATCGTAATTTAGCACAAACCTAGTAACGCTGAACGTGGCCATAATCGAAGTATCGTCCTCTGTGCGCTAGGCTAGTACTTGGCAGTCTGGATGTCTGCCTGGTGGGCTCCGGGATCGGTAGAAAGGTGCCTGCCGTGAGGGATGGCAGGGATAGCAAATGGAAGGTGATGTAGAATCGGTTTGGCCACACGCGACCGGCGCATTGCAGCCAAACTCGCAAACCACGTGTTTATTTCTAACCCTACCGGTATATCTAGGCCCTACATTTCGGAACATAACCAACCCTTAGCAACCCCCCCAACATTTCAGTGCCTAGGTTACATCGGACCCTGTTGCCCATCCTGCGGGTTGGCCCCGATATATGGCTTCCAGTTCCGCTTTGCGGCTAGTGTTGAGATAAGAATCGGTGCCGATAGACTCATGGTTGGAGCGGCGACCTTGAGAAAGGCGTGCTGTGTGAAGTGTTAGATAGCGCAAGGGCCAGGGTGGGGGGGCACACTCACACCGGCTAGAACACTGGGTGAGGCAAATGCTGTTGTATTGTTGAAGTTAATTGCCTCTGCCGACCATTGTCCAGGGTTCTGTAGTGGTGCCGAATCCGGACACAGAACGAGACCCTTCTCCATTAGATGCCTCATTGTAGTACCCAGGGACCGTATGTCTTGAAGGCTATCCTCGTGGCCCTGGGGTAATTTGGCGCACATAGCAAGATTCGCTAACCGGTTACTTACGTCCATTAATGTGTGAGGGAACGTACCTATCTTGATTTCGACATCCCCTGCCTTGGCACTAACTAGGATATTTCCAAGCTTTATTGATCCGTGTAACAATTGCCTTTCATGCAGGAACCGTATACCCTTCAGAACCTGAGCTAATGAGTAGGTGTGGATGGCAGGGACATTGATGACTTGCCTCTGCGACCACCATCGCTATTTGCGGTTCGGTCAGCGGCTGACACGAATTGATCTCGGATAGCGAGAGTGCAAGATACTCGGACACCACATACGTCGTGTCGTACATGATATAGGATTCGTAGATGTGAACGAGGTTCGGGTGCACCTGGAAGGGAATGTCATTGGCGCTCCTCTTTCCTTTCAGTGTACTAATCGATACCAGGGTGTGATCAGGTCGCCTCGCGATAACTACTGTTCCGGCTAGCTGCAGAGTCACTATACCAGTGTAGGTTGTCCATGGTAGACCTGCGGTTGTCGGGACAGCGTCGCGGGGCCTTATGGGATAACGGCCTCGTGGCAACGAGGCAGGAATTGGGAAGAGCGTGATGCGGTTCGATGCCTGGTTCATTCTGCGTGTATTATATAGCACTATTTAATATATACCGGTATTACATTGCATTCTCTCAGTATATATAGTTTATTCTAGTGCATCTAAGAAGCCATGATATATTATTTATAACACCCCATACTCCTTGAGACTCGGTGGAGGTCCCACAACAGCATCCCTTGGCTTTCTAGGTTTGACATCCTCGGCGGTTCTGTACTCGGGTGGTCGACCCTTGTATTGCTTTGGAGGTCAGCGAGCGCGTAGTATTCAGTGGAAGGGACCTACTATACCGCAATCTCGGCCATTGCTGGAGGCCATTCCGGGTCGTGGACCGATCGGAATATATAGTGGCGCCCACCCCGCTCAATAATAATAGCAACCCTTGCATCTAGCAGTGATAGTTGGTACCCCTTCCTGTAAATCCCAGCTTTCCGCTTTCTAAAGCTATTGTTCTGACTGCGTCTCTCCATAGTATGTTCACAATACTGTACGACTCCGAGTTGCGCTTACGCCCAGATTGGCCCCCTTTATATTCATTGACAGGCGCCGCAGGCCCAGGTTTCCACTAAGGAATCCAATAATGATGTCCTCTGTTGCAGAACAGGCCTTCCTGTTATTAGGCCACCCAGACGCAGCGACTACCCAAAGTCCTAATGAATACGAAAGCCTAACTATCGCGGAGTGGAACAAAATGTCCGGCTGTGCACACACCTCCTGGCTCTGCGTTGATGGAACAACGCTGCTGGACTTCGGCAGACTACAAACCCTACTTGGACCCGATATACTACCAGATCCTATGAACCAAACCCCTTCACTAGTAGTGCTTATTGGTGAATCCACTATGTCCGATGCGCTGCAGATGTGTACATCAAGGTCAACTCCAAGGCCCTCTAGCAGCAGTGATGTCGCCGACATCCATCTCCACCTCCTACCTTCCAGCACCTGTGCCCAGTCGCCAATCCTTCTGGCTGACTGTGGGAGGCTTCTCTCTAATCCCGCGGTGGGATCCGGCGTATCCACCAAACCAATATGCCACGAAGTAAGGCAGAGGCCATTGCCCTGGCTGCGCAATGCGGACGGCTCGCTGATGCACCGTACGGTAACCGAACAACTGTTTCAGCAATTGATTGTGCCCTTCGCGGACGTTATATGTGTCTTTGGGGATGACCTAGGTGGAGGTCAGGGTCTGGCCAGGTGGCTGGCGTACTTGATGGACATTCCCCACATCCCGCAGCGCCATCGATTTCGGGAGCAGCAGATGCTTGTTATACTCAACGACGAACACGGCTTCCATCGCATGGCCTACTCGGAGGGGCTTTGTGAGCCCTGGATCACATCACTTGAGGTACTCCAGACAATGGGTCGCGATGGAGATCCTAGTCCAATGGAGATGGCCCTCCAGAAGATACACGATATCCAAATCTTACGCGCAAGGTCAAGATGGCTATTCACAGCGAATGAGCTTATCCAACATCATGGCTACGCTTGTGACCACTTTGCAAGAACCAATATGGAACCATATGACTTCCTACTCTCAGCCCGACTGGCCATACCCATACCTCCAGCGTTCCCTGTGTTTGCTGCGATGCTTCTTAGTCACCTGGCATCCGCACCGTCTGCCGGTGTACATATCCTTGCCTCTTGTATTGTCCTCGATAGCTTACTACATAGTATACACGGTTGTGATCACCCATTCCCACTCCTGCAGAAGGCTAACCTCCGATCCCATAGTATTCCACCCCTTTGATGTGTACGATGCTCTCTACCATAATCACTGTTGTGATGCTGTTAGACGTGTATTTCCACGGCAGTCAATCCAGCGCAGCCTTCTCAGCAGACTCCGCCTCATGGTTAGGGATCTTACATTCCGGCAGCAACTGAGGCGAGCTCATCCAGTAGCATCTCATCGCGAAATACTCAAATTACACCGGGGGCGTTTCCTGCACATCCGGAGCACGGAGGTATGCCTTATATGCATCATGCGGCGTCCTGTCAGGGTCCTATCCTGTGGGCATGCCATTTGCGAGGTCTGCATCCGCACATTTGGAGAGCTGGTACCTGGTGAGCCATGTATCTATGCTCACCCACAATGCGCTTTGTGCTACACTAGCATCAAACCGCCAAACATTCAAATCCGCCCTCCTTCCGCATTACCTCGGGTTCTATGTGTTGACGCAAATGGTCCGAATATGTGGGACACTCTGAATCTGTTGGAGACATCTATTAGCCAGCTTATGGGCTTTCCATTCCCCATACAGGAGTGCTTCGACATTGTGTTTGGTAGAGGGCCTGGTATGACCCCCTGTTGTCAATATCGACGTTAGCCTAACTATGAAGGTGTTGGACCTGTCCGTAGTCTCTTCCTCCATGAGCTGGCAATCAAGCAATGCCAAACCGAGAGTCAATCAAGCTCGTCCGGAAGATCGATCAAAGCGTTGTGGCTGGCGAGAACTAGGGTTAGGGGACAGCGGAGACAGCCCATATATCTCGACTGTTACAGCGCCCCCGGCCCGGTAGTCACAATAGCCGCTATCACCTCCAGTGCTAGGCCAGAGCCCCTCGGGGGCTGTCTGTTTTCCCGCCTCCTTGGACGCTTCCTCACTGGATACCGGGGCCTGTCGGCTGCTTCCGGCGGGCCAGAGCGGCCCAGTTCCACACACTCAGCAACAGAATATATGCTAAACGTCCTTTTACCATCTAGCCATGGCGTTGGCTATGTGAGAGAGCCATCTATCATGGGTCTATCCACGGCGTCCGTTGATGCGGTCGCTAGAGCACTCGTTGCGAGCCATTTCTATTTCGAGCTAGCTAAACCACCTCAATTTGCTGATAGCAGGTATAGGTGCAGCGGCTATGTTCTCTGTCGCTTGAGAGTAACTGATCAGTTTTGGTTCCTGCGGGCTCTTACGCTCTCCTCGCACCGTCTATACATCGGCTCCGTTGGCTACACCTTTCGGATGCTCACCCGTGGGCAGCCGTTCCGCAAGCTCCTTACCTTTACTGTCACAGGCGCTGAGCAGCCGATCTCAATCCGTCTAGGGAATCCGTTTTCTGCAAGTACGGCCTATTGTATAAGCGGTTCCCCATTCACCATTGCCTCACTATCCCAGATCCAGTTTACATAATCTCCGTTACATATACTAAAGTACTAGGGGTGGGTGGAAACTATCGGGACCAACATGGCCAGTAAAGGGCTTCCTTCATTCGCGCTCCCGGATATCTGAGAAGGTAAATAGCGTGGATCACGTAACGGTTATAGTACTAGCGGTCCTGTAGTGCAGACTTAGGTATTAGCCATTTAGATGCTATTTTGGAACCCCACATGTGCTGGCAGCTCGGAAGGTCGAGGAATATGTCTTAGCTTTAATTCCATCAGGTAACCCTACCTGCAGGTAGATAGCCATCTTTAAATACATGAATCTGAAACTCCTTTATGTTCCCTCTTCATCGCCCGCCGTTACTTCCATATGATAACACTAACCGCGCTTCCTCTCCTCCCATCTATACTCTCCTTATCTCCCTCTTCTATTCTCCTACCTTCACCGTCCATTCACCTTACCTCACTTTGTGGCTCCAGTTACTCTCCTCCCTTCCCCTCTCTTAACCCGTCCATTCACCTCTCCTCACTGCACAACAGCTACCCTCTCAGACATCCAATCCATCCCTCACCCGCTGGTTATAGCTGTTCGCCTCTGGCTCTCAGTGATCCGAGGGTGTGCCAACGACCGCCGGTCATCACTGGAAGGCGATCACCGGAAAGCCTAGCCATGGTCTGGAGCCGGCATAGCTGAGAGCCCTCGGGAAGAGGCTGCGAGCGTCGGAATCCCCCTTTTGTGAGAACGGGAACACACCGAAGAGAAAGGATACATCTAGCGATCGATAGAAGGATAAGAAGACTGCGTTGTGATTTCTATCTCCCATTCTCTGGCTGTGCAAGAAAGAGAGCTTTAAATTAGTACCGCCATTCGTTTTCGCCGTTCGTTCACCGTTTGCTCGTTCGCTCGTTTCGCCGTTCGTGGCAGCCTCCGCCGATCAGACGTTGAAAAGACCCTGCCCCGCTCTGGGCGAGGGCATACCGTGCATGGTCACCTAGAGGCTGGTAAGTACCAGGAATGAGGGAGCTTGGATATCCAGCTCAATATCCCAAGCGGTGCCACTGCCCGAGACATATAGGTCCTCTAGTCTGACAATCGAATTGATTAGTACTGAGGGGGTGAGCTGAAGTCTGTATAAATAGGTTAGTCAAAATTATATGTATGTAATGCGGGATATGCGGATAATGTGGTTGTATAAATCTAACTGCCGAGCTGTCTGGAGGACCTCAGAGCCAACCGGGGAATCTCAGGGTAAGGATAAACAATAGTTAAATCCACAGTTTATTCGCCGCATGCGGGAGGGAGGACCGAAACCGGTCTGATGAGAGACTATGGTGTGCGCGCCTAGGAGACTGCAGGGGCCAAGTGTCTGGGGGTTTGGCGATAGTGAGCACTCTCAAAAGGGTGGTGATAGTACGTAACAGGTGTTTGAATTTAATTATTTCCGGAACATATGCCAGTAATCTTCACCAGGGGCACAATGAAACTGGGCCAGTGGCGAGGAGGGGTATTTTATGGACAATCTGTCAAAGTAGTGTACCGGCCTCGAGTAACAGGGATCCTTAACGAGTAAGCTCTCTTTTACTCACGTACCCTACCCTACTTTGACGAATTAACCTTCGCCCATAAAATACCCCTGTTCGTCACCGGCCAGGTTTTGTCGCACCCCGGATGAGGCCTGTAGCATAATTAGGCTCTTTGTCCGCCCGGATGGATCCGACTGTTTTAGACTGCCCAGGTTGTACTTGCCCTACCGCGGCACGTCCCTAATAGTCCTTCTAGGACGTGGATGCGTCGTTCCAATTCCTCCCGGTCTTCCCGGTCATACCGTGCCTGGATCAACCTTTCAGCTCGCCGATCGTTGAATAGCCTGGCAACCTGTAGTGCACTGTATAGTGAAGGGACAACCAGATCCACATCATCATCAAATGACCAAACCGTATCTACTTGTGTGAGTGTCTGGACATTGAGTCTGGGGTGCTCTAGTAACAGATCTACAATGTCGGCGCATCCGCAGGCTATAGCAGTATGTAATGGTGGCATCGCGGTGCATTGTGGTGGTCGGATTGCTGACAACCAGGAAGGGATACGGCCCCTTACTGCGTTTACGTTGACCCGTGAACATCTGAGAAGCAGCTCTGCCATTACGGTGGACCCCGCTTCAATTGCCTCGACTAGAGGCACATGGCCCTTCTGGTTATAACAGGAAGTGATAGCACCGCTGTGGAGCAGTTCAACGACTATGTCTTTGTGCCCGTGCCGAACGGCGATGTGTAAGGCGGTATCACCCTCGGTGTCTGCGGCATCTATTACGATTCTGTCATCAGCTAGAAGAGTGCGAACTGTTTCAAGACTGGGATCATCATCATCAATGGCTGCGTGTAATAGAGTAGATCCCCAGATGTCTCCTTGGCTTACATCATGGGTCACTGGTAGTAAATAGCGTAAAATTGTATGATGTTTGGTACGGGCAGCCCAATGTAGTGGTGTACGGCCGAGGCCATCAACCGAATCTGCATCGATATCCTCGCGTGCGATCAACAATGCCGTAATTCCAACAGCCCCGATCTGGGCCGCCTGGTGTAATACTGTGCCACCACTGTTATCAGTCAAATTGAGATTAATATCCGGTCGCTCTAATAACAGCCTGGCAATTTTCAATCTGTTTCCGCGGGTCGCTAGATCTAGTGGTGTGCGTCCATCGTTATCGGCCAGATTGACCTCAATAGTATCATGTTCCAACAGCCCCATGCTGAGCTGCGAGATGTAATGCTGTGCGTCCGCCGTTATCAACCATATTGACATTAATATCCTTTTGTTTCAATAGCATCCCCGCAATGCGACCTGCCCCATGCTGAGCTGCGAGATGTAATGCTGTGCGTCCGTCGTTATCAACCATATTGACATTAATATCCTCACGGTCCAACAACAACCTTGCAACCCGCTCAGCACCTCGCCGTGGGGTAGATGGCCTCCCACGCACTCGAGCCCTGGGCGCTGTCATGGCTGCCCAATGTAGTAGTGCTACACCATGTGAATTCCCTGAGTTGACATCAAACCCACTTTGCACAAGCCGCTCGAAAACAACCCATCCTTCATCCAATACCTCATGTAGCACAGTCTCCATTCCTGCACGTGTAGTGATTCCCTTGCGCAGCATCCGGTGGAGCATATCCCTATCATCGTGGTGTATTACAGAAAACAATGCTCCTTTTGCATACTGCAACCACTGCATCTGAGTCGAACACACAGAATCGTAGAGAGCTGGAGTTACATGTGCACAAGTATTGCGGTTGGTAAGTGCCAGGCGTCTGATGTCTGGAGGCGATAACCAATTTGTAACCATCATCATTAACTCGGGTGGAAGTCGGTCCATGTCTTGTAAGCGGTGTTAAGGTTGTATAGAGACCTTTAGCTGAAGGGGTAGCGGGCCGCAGGAGTTATTAAGGTGAAAGAGAGTCCATGATATTTGAGGTTAACCAGCGAGCTGTTTGAGGATTTGGCGTTGGGACCGGGGAGCATAGGAATAGGGATTTCTCGCGTGAAGTTTGCCATTGGTTGTGCCCCGTGGACCCCCCTCCCAATGATCAGAGAATGGTTTGGAGGCCACGAGGCCTTTCCGCTAGTGGCGGCGGGTACTCGAGTACTAGGGAGGTCTGAAACCCTTGACGCCAAAAGGAGCTTTGAACCTCCCACCAGAGGGTGCCAGAGGACATACTGGCACCAGGCTAGATCTATCCCTTGGTCGGTCTGGAACAAGAAATGCGGAGCCAGGCGCGCTCAGTTGGTGTCAGTAATCAGATCACAAATCTCTTGAGCGAAAGCATATCCGTATCAGCCGAAAATATTGATACTCATACTGTGGCGTTTGGAAATCGGACCGCTATTGCATACATCCCAAGCCCTGAAGTCCCGGCAGAATCTTGGCTATGCAATAGCGGTCCATTTCACAAGCGCCACGACATTACTAGTACGGTACTCCCAAAGGTTCGGCCCTTATACTTGGATCTGGATTGTATGCAATAGCTAAAATACCTCGATATTATGAGTAATGTTGCCCCAGCCGCATGCATCTACATACCACCCTTGACATGTCTACAAAGGAGGACGCATAAGGAGGGCGATGGGAAGGAACCCGCAGATTGCTCGGCCAATGGCCCTTGCAGAAATACCGGATAGGCATGGGGGAAGAACAGGTATTAATCCTCACTCAAGGAAGCTACAGGTTTGGGATAAAAGCATCTGACCCTATAGGCTTACCGGATAGATAACCAGCCCCCTCCTCCAATGCATACTGGGTTCCCTTCTACCTCCCTACCGCTCTCAACTATCAAATACCACCTGCCAAAAATGCGGTTGTGACCATCGGGAAAAGGGAGAGTGAAGCTTGATTGTTTACTGCCGGCAGAGGTGGGCATATAACTGCGAAGGAACGATTAATATCTGAAGTGTGACCTAAGTACAATGCCCAAGCAGTTCGCGTAGACGGTTCCCACCATGCCCAGCCGCCCCAGCATTAAGCAAATACATAAATATTTATACCTTCCAATAAAGCCCGCACTGACACTACCAAGGAGTTATCAATATAGTACAATTACACTAATCCTCGAGAAAGGTTGGCAAGATCAGAGAGTAATGATATATCCAACACGTCCGTAGTTTTAGGATACCCGAACATGCCATCCGCGATCCGTCTCCTTAGAGGGTATAGGCCATGCTGCGGAATCTTAACCTTCGTGGTATAGTCATCGAAGTCGGTAGGAATGGTTTGTGAACAAAGTCCCGGTGCGGTCTTCTCTTTCTCGTGAGCCCAATCCTCCTGGAGCTTGTCCAATGCCCTCTTGCGTAACCGATTTCGTTGGCTACGGACACGCTCATAAAGGGCATTGTACTGCCGTTGTTCGGGCATGGGTGATCTCTTAATGCTTCCATGCCCATATTGCAACTCTGATAGATATCGGGCCCTTTCATCCTCATAGCCCTGCAATATCCTATCGCCTTCTATCTCCTCCAGGGTACTGTCTGGAAGGTTCTGTGGCACCGCCTCATCATGTCGGCATCCCGTTTGAAGGAACTGTGAGGTCAAATCTAACCGCTGCCAACGCCCTAGAACAAGGGACTGAGTATCAACAGGTGATATGGATGAGGCATAAAAACGATCAAATGTTCCCGACTTTCTATGGGTCATCACCCTCCGGTGATCATATTGTAGCACTTTACCTAAGGCCAATGTGTGTTAGATAAGACTAGGGTAATGGACAAGGCAAGCATACCATGAATAGTATTTCCAGTGGCTCTACGTATGGCCTGAAAGGTAGCCCTTTCCATGAAGCCAGACCGTTGAGCCAGATCCCGAAGGCAATTACTTATTGCCTGGTATGTCAAGGCTCTTTTGCGGCTTACACCTCCATTTCGTTCGCACTGCCGAAAGACTGGCATTTCTGTAACTGACTCCCTCCATTTAAACATTCTTCTCAAGCCTGTTTGAGACCGCTGCATCTCTAGGAGACGCTCCATAGTTAAATCATCGAAGGCATCATCCGCGAATGCTAGTGCAAGGAAGAGTATCACAGGATCTAGTCCATGTCCAAAGCCGAGAACCACCTGATGAAGCAGGGTCTGTGGACTAGTTCAGTTAGAGGTCAGGTGAGGGAACACGGGAGCAGAGGGAGAGCTAAAGGTACCTACACAGTACGTTCCCTGACTTGATCCCCTTTGATATAGACCTTCCCGATAGTAAGGACCAGATCCGCAGGTTTGCCCTCCTGTGTGGCCATCAGACCGAAGCTACAGTGCTATACATACCATGTCAGCGAGGAGCGGTACCTGACACAGTTCAGGTTAGCATACATACTCCATACAAGAGAGACATATTTGTCCCCTGACGTGTCCTTGATTCAACAATCCCTCCTATACGGTCTGCTGTATAGGATGTCAACAATACGCAGAGCGCTATTTGCAATCTGGAACGCTCGCTGGAGAACAGTTTCCAGTCTCTCCCCCATAGAAACCATAACAGGCGCTCAACATCTGATATCATAAAATTACTTTTCGGCCACTTCACAACGGTAAGGTGAAGGTCTGGCTCTCCCGGATGAGCGAGGTTGCCTTGTAGAAACTTGAACTAGGTTTAGCAACACCATAGGTTGATAGAGGGATGACAGCATACGTTATCAATCTCCTGGCATACCGGCTTCGGGAACTCCTCATGCATTTCCCTATGTAAGCCACAACACAGCCGCTTCCAATATGTGTGAACTGTAAGTTGTGTTGGGGTGTCTCCCAGGTGGCCCTGGCCAAGAGCAATATATCGGATCCATTCCTTGATTTCCGGTACAGTTGGTAGTGTATTGGGTGGTGGACGCCGAAGGCAATCAAAATAAAATCTGATACTAGATCAACACTTCCACCCGTCTTATCAAAGGGGAGGGGGTACAACGTCCTCCAGGACTGAACCGTCTGGGCATAAGAATGGCTGGTTGCCTCAGAAATCGTTGGGTGAAATGGCACTGTCACCTCACTTTCCACACTAAATTGCCACCCTAGCTCCTGGGCCTTCTCAAGCCTCCGATAATGGGCTGCCATATCTAGGTTTGGTATGCGGAGGCCACACCTGTCTACAGGTCAGGAGAGCCTGGCCCCTTTATACTTTGGACCCGAGGTCTTATCCCAGGAATCGCAACACCCCAGTAACCGGCTATAGGGCTCGTGTACGAGTACAGTCTCATAGTCAGCCACTAAACGGAAATGAGTGTGGAGCTGATCCCAACTGAGAGTGGAGGGCGGTTAACCTCTGGGTGCGGTCGGGTAACATGGTTTCACATTTTCTGAGTGGTATATTTCTCGGTCAGTGGTAGCTGAAAGGTAGGTGGCTACGGTAATTGCATGGTATTGAAAAGGTTTTCTCGATCCTGGCGGTCTAGAACGGGAACTGGCGCCTGCCTGGCCAAGGGCCCCTGGTTAGCCCCTGTGGAACGTACAAAGCCTAGGGGCGATACCTCTGGCCAGGGACAGGTACCTCCGTATAGTACTGTGTGTACGAGTATCGGCTATCATTAGGAACATCGAGCCGCTGTTCGCCTATGACCCTCTGTGGCTAGACGAAATGGTACCTAGTTTGAATGAGTGTCTAAGTAGTCAGACAGGATGCCCCTCTACCTGTACTCGAGGACTACCGGTACCTTTGCACATACCTGAGTACTCGTAATAGCAGCTATGTTCACGAAGATGGAGGAGGAGAGACAGGGGTGAAGCGCTCCGTAAGGAGACTCCTCCAGTATAGTTGGGGGCGTGATGGTACAGCCCCAGTTGGAGCGCAGGTTGGCCTCTACTAAACCCTATTTTCCTACCCCCCCCTCCCGCATGAAACCCTGAAGGCAAGGAACTCGGGGGTCCAGCCAGCAATAGTACTCGAGTATCCCGACCTGTCACAGGTCGGTGGGCTGGGGTCCCATGGTACGGGTAGGTTTCCTTGTACGGTACTGTACGTAGTGGGTCGGCTAAGGTCCAACACAACTACTGCGAAAGCTCTGCTCTCTTTGGGTACCGTAAGGGCTCTCGGGATCCACTACCTCCACCCTCCCCGTTATCTGCAGATTCTGAGTCAAAGGGTCCAGAGAGAGATTGGTGTTTTCCCTAAGTGATAAAGCCTCATGGTCCAAGGTTCGTTGGACCTTATTAACCGGTATTCGCAATCCAGCTAACCTATCAAACCAAACCTATTGTGAGCTTAGTACGTGTTGATCTCTGTTTCAGAGATAGTGGATTCCAAGAGCTCTTATGGTAGGTGGGTAGACGGAATTCCGTCAAGCACAAGCAGTGCACCTGTGAGTATGGGGCGGAAGTGAAGATAACCGGCTGCATGGGTAAGATCATGTTGGTGAACCTACAGTCACACCAGCTATCCCGGATCTCGATAGACCAAATACCCTGCTGTCCTGTCTGGACTATTCAAATGTGTGGGGTACGGTACAAGCTGAATTAAAATATTGGTAACTCTGATGCTTGTCTTGGAATGTAGGCTAACTGTAAGGTAGTGTTCCCTGCTTGCAATAGTGAACTATATCAGCAAATCTAAACCCTGCATCAGACATGTGGGCAGAGCATCTAAAGTACCCTACCAAATCGTTCCGTACGATGCCCTTTTTACACCAAAAACATGTATTTTTACCCCCTCTTTAGGCACCATCAATGTCTATGAAAATCTGCCAAAATCTCATGCTACATTATCAAAACCCAGGATAACATGTAAAACTTTACAGAGCTCTCAAAACCTATAAAATTGTGGAGATAGCATGAGCCAAGTGCATGGTATGTGGTTGCCATGTACCTTTTTCTATGGAGCCCCATACAAAATATTAAGTCACTTTTGGACTTGGTGATACCATTGTATGCCATTGACTCAATTTCATCATTTTTTATTCATGCTTCTATGAGGGTAAGGCCAAAGTGATTTCCTACCCAATAGCAAAAATTTAGTTGTTTTTAA